ATACTAAGTACTAAGTACACTAATATACTAAGTACACTACAAATGCACATTCAATACAATTAAGTACACTTCATTTCTATTTAAAGCAAATTATCTACTATTTACAGATGTGAATTCATGTTGTGCTAAAGCATTTTAGACAAAAACTATCCTAATCGTGCACACTGAATGGTCATGATGCTTTGGACTAAGAGTGTCAAAGCACAGGAAATGTATATCCTGACATGTTACAATGAATGATTTTTCCCCCTTTTCTTTTCATTTGACAGTAAATTTGTACTTAAAAGCCTGCCAGTGAAGGAATTATGTTCTCGTTTGCAAGTACATTCCAGAAAATTTAAGCAGTCCTGGCACACTGGAGTATTATCTTTGCCAAGTAAGTAAAGCGGTGTGAATGTTGTTTAATCTTGCACAATAGTTGTACTTTCCATTTTGTGTCCGGAGATAGGATTATATTCCTTTCACAGAATTTCTGAGCTCTGATGATGAATAGCATTCATCAGCATTTCAATTTCAGCCCAGAATGCGGTGGCCATGACTGTGGCCTTTGGGAAGTGGGGACAGTGACCTGCGATTGCTTGTATCTGGGTTCCTCCAGAATGGAACTGAAGCTGGCTTTGCACCAGAAGTGTTAGCATGTGCAGCTCCATTTCTCCTGATACTCCAGACGTTATCTCCATCCCGAATGGAGTGACGCGTCACAGCTCTTGGGGAAGTAAACACTCCTAATCTCCTTTATGCCACTGGCTTAATACAGCTGTCAGCTGCAGGAGAGGTCATACGAGCCTGTGCAAATAAACCCAACATCCAAGGTTTAGGAGACACAGTTGTGTCGCCTTCGAAAGAGAAACTCTAGTTTGACAAGCTACTTATAATTTAAAGTAGTTTAGATAAACTTCAAGCAAATATTGAGCTACACTACAAGCCATCAACAGAAGGGAACTTGTTTGTGGACTTTTATTTTGTACTATTTTGTTTTCCTGTGTTTTTGTTCCTGTTTCTATTTTCCCCTTGCTCCTGCTTCCCATCTGTTACCATGGACACTAATTATGTTATGCACACCAGTTTCTAGTTTTCCCCCTCATTAACGTGTTTTTATTACCCTCAGTTTGATCAGATGTGTCTTGTGTTGATTTTACTGATTTTATTCATCTTTGATTTTGTTGAGAGCTGCATTTAGATCCCTTCTCCTCATTTTTCCTGACCTGCTGACAAGATATAATTACACTAATAAAATTAAATAAATTAATAATAATAATAATAATAATAATAAACTAGACACTGTGTTCGCATTTTTAAATTCATCCTATTTATATATATTTAAAAAAAAAACGTTGGAAGGGACGTCCTTTTTTGTGTATGCATCAAATAAAATAATAAAAAAAGTGATTTTATTAACATAGTAATTATTAAATGTAACAGTCTACTTTAATGTTTCAAATAACTTTTGTTAAAATAAAATGTCAAAATATGGGTGAAAAAATATTATATCATTATTTAGCATAACAGACATATTTGTGTACAAATTAAACATACTTATTCTGATCTGTACTTATTAAAATATATCAAAGAATAAGTGATCATTGCTGAGAAAAGGTTAAAACTTAGTGGTTTGAATGATAGTGATTTGTGTTCAAAATATGCCTGACAAGATTTATTTTATTTATTTATTAATTTGTTTATTTATTTAGTGTGTGTGTGTGCGCGTGTATAAACCATATTTATATTTACACTAACACAAACAAGATGACAATTTTTTTTTATATAACAGGCACCCTATTATAACAAAACTTTTTTTTTTTTCTGTGTATATATATA